GAAGGGAGGGCAGGGGAAGGGGAAAAAATAAGAACCAAGATACTCATGTAAAGGTACAAGATCCCAATGATGAATGTAACTGTATTTTATAACTAAAATGTACCAATAAACTTAATGGGGGAAAAAAAAGATGCATCCATTTTCTGACAAATGACTCAAGTTTATCCTTCTTTATGGCAGAGTAGTATTCCATTTTGTATAAATAGCACATTTTCTTTATCCATTCACCTGTTGATAGACAGACATATAGGCTACTTTCAAGCTTTAGCTATTATGAATTGTGCTGCTATAAACAGGTATGAATACATTACTGTAAAATAATGTCTTTAACTCTTTTGGGAAGATACTTGGAAGGGGAATAGCTGGGTCAAATGAAATTTCTAGTTTTAGCTTTCTGAGGAATTTCTGATTTCATAGTGGTTGTACCAGTTTACCTTCCCAACATACTAGAGAAGTACAATTTAATGGTGCGACAAATGCTATTCAGTAGTAATAAACCACTTAGGCCCTTTTAAAACCAACTCAAATGTTGATGACATTTATTTGTTTTTGGTTTGAAGTTCTGGACCAGAGCGGATTAGGAAGAACTACTGCAAGGCTATCAAACCCAATGGCAGAAATGGGAGTCTTCCTAGGGAGCACCATGGAAATCATAAACTGTGCTGTAGATAAAAGGTATTACCATCCTCTCCATGTATCTGGGCATAGGGGACTCCAAACCCCACCAGCGAGTCTGTCTAGTTGTTATACAGCTTTGGTAGTCACAGGGTTTCTTTATATTGAGCCATTATTCACCTCTTCATTGCACATGGTTTCCAATTCTTGCTTTATCATTGTTAGCTGTATGACTGAGGCACAGTGGCTTAGTCTTTCTGGGCCTTACTCTCCACAACTGTACAATGCCTAGGATAATGCTGCACGGCAATGTGCTAAGAGCTGAGCTCTTATTTCTAGTTGCCTTTGTTCAAATTCAGGATCTACCAATGACTGGCTTGATTTGCAATGAGTTCCTTAATATCTCAAGGCTTTAGTTTTCTTTTTTTGTAAACTGGGGATGATATTAGAATCTGATTTGTGGGGTTGCAGCAATGTACTTACTGAGCGATGTATAAGTGTTACTTATTATTTTATCTTTCAGTGTTACTATAGGTATCAAATGAGATAATATATGTAAAGTTAATGAGAGTGCAATGCCTGGCATGGATTCAATCAATGTGAATTATAATCACCTTTCAAAACCATATGAATGCAAAAGCATTGTCAATTATTTGTAGCCCCTACTTCTCCAGACTAAAACTTCACAACACCCAGTCACATTTCCATCCCTGTCTATAATCTGACTTGTGCAAATGCCTTGACTATGCCACATAAAATTGCTTTGGTCCAATAAACTAGGTCCTTTTAACCTTTTTCAAGTCACATCAATTAACGTCACATTTAAATACTTATCAGAAGACTAGAAACCAGACTGCAGTGTACAGGTTCGGCTGTTTCTGTTGAGACCTAGTGGTCCAATTTCAAACAGGATAACAGAATCTGTTAGAAACTGATCTGTCATATGCA